AAAAATTTCCTTCACTTAATAAAGAGAATCTATGAAAAATATAACTTACTTTGGAAGACTGAAAACTGTTCTGTCACGATTGGAAACAAGGCAAAGCTATCTGCTCTCATCACTTCTATATAACATTGTAAAAAAGGTCCAATAAAGAAAGAAAGAGAAAAGAAGCTATACCAAGATTGGAAAGAAAGAAATAAAGCTGCCTTTACTTGCACATGACAGGATTTTCTATGTAGAGTAATCTAAGAAATCTACAAAGAAACTACTAGAACTAATAAGTGAGTTTAGCAAGGTCACAGGATACAAGGGTAATATATAAAAAGCAGTTATATTTCTATATTCTTGAAATGCAAAGTGCAAAGTTGGCTAAAAAATAAATTTTAAAAATATGCCATTTACAAGAATAGCAGGAAACATGAACTATTTCGGGATAAATTTAATAGAATGTTTAAGATCTGTACGTTAAACACAATAAAATATTGTTGAGAGAAATTAAAGAAAACCTAAGGGAAAATGTACCATGTTTATGAATTGAAAGATTCAATATAGTAAAGGTGACAATTTTCCCCTAATTGATCTATAAATTCTGGTTTTTTTTTTGAGATGGAGTCTCGCTCTGTAGCCTGGGCTGGAGTGCAGTGGCTGGATCTCAGCTCACTGCAAGCTCCGCCTCCCGGGTTTATGCCATTCTCCTGCCTCAGCCTCCCGAGTTGCTGGGACTACAGGCGCCCGCCACCTTGCCCGGCTAGTTTTTTGTATTTTTTAGTACAGACGGGGTTTCACCGTGTTAGCCAGGATGGTCTCCATCTCCTGACCTCGTGATCCCCCGTCTCGGCCTCCCAAAGTGCTGGGATTACAGGCTTGAGCCACCGCGCCCGGCCGATCTATAGATTCTTAATCATTTCTTTTTTTTTTTTTTTTTTTTTGAGACAGAGTCTTGCTCTGTCGCCAGGTTGGAGTGCAGTGGCGTGATCTCCGCTCACTGCAACCTCTGCCTCTCGGGTTCAAGCAATTCTTCTGCCTCAGCCTCCTGACTAGCTGGGATTACAGGCGCCTGCCACCACGCCCAGCTAATTTTTTTTGGTAATTTTAGTAGAGATGGGGTTTCTCCATGTTGGTCAGGCTGGTCTCGAACTCCTGGCCTCAGGTGATCCACCAGCCTTGGCCTCCCAAAGCACTGGGATTACAAGCGTGAGCCACCGTGCCTGGCGATTCTTAATAATTTCAATCCAATTCTCAGGCTTTTTTTTATAGAAATGAACAAGTTTATTCTAAATTTTACATGGAAATGCAAAGGGCCTTGAATGACTAAGACAATCTTCAAAAAGAAAAAGTTGAAGGGCATACACTGCCTTAGATCAATGGAACAGAATAGAGAATCCAAAGATAGATATGCACATATTAATATGTGGTCAATTGATTTTTTTTTTTAAACAAAGGAACCAAAATCAGTAGGAAAAGGAAAGTCTTTTCAACAAATCATACTATATCAACTGGCTATCCATGAGGGCAGCAGGGTAGAACCTTGACCCTCAATCTTAAACTAACAACAAAAAATAATTCAGAATGGATTATAGACCTAAACATAAAAGTTAAACCTCTAATGCTTTTAGAAAGAAATATAGGGTAACACTGTCACAAACTTAGGGTAGGCAAAGATTTTTTAGACTGGACCCAGAAGGCATTAACCATAAAAGAAAAAAATGCTAAAAAAGTAAAACTTCTGCTCAATGAAAGACATCACTAAGGAAATAAAGAGGCCACAGAAGGAGAAAATATTTGTGATGAACATATCTGACTTGTAACCAGAATGTGTAAAGAACTCCTACCACTGGATAATAAAAAGACAACCCACTAAAAATTGGGCAAAATATTTGAAGAGACACTTCACAAAGGAAGATATACAAATGACCAACAAGCAATAAAAAGTATTCAACATCATTAGTCATCAGGGAAATGCAAACTAAAACCACAATGAGATTTCATTTCACAACCACTAGAATAGATAAAATGCAAAAGACTGACAACACCAAATGTTAACAAGCAATTGTAACAACTGGAATTCTCATACATTGCTGGGGGGAATGTAAGATGGTACAACTGTTTTAGAAAGCAGTCAGCAATTCAACCCTTAGGTATTTACCCAACATAAATGAAAACACACATCCATAAAAAGACCTGGAGACAAATGTTCCTAAAAGATTTATTCATAATGGGCAAAAAATGTATACAACCCAAGTGTACATTAACAAGTAAACAAAAAGCAAAGTGTGCTATATTCATACAACGGAATACTACATAGCAGTAAAAAGGAATGAAGTGCTGATACATACCACAATGTGGATGAACATTTCTCAGACAAGATACACAAATGGCTAATATGCATGTAAAAAGATGTTCAACATCATTCATTAGTCATCAGGAAAATATAAATCAAAAACAGAGTGAGATAAAATTTCACACCTACTAGGCTGGCTATATTAAAAAAGTCACAAAATATCAAGTATTGGCAAGAATGTGGAGAAACTGTAACCCTCATAAACTGTTGCTGGGAATGTAACAGAGTGCAGGCATTCTGGAAAACAGTTTGGCTGTTCTTTTAAACACAGAATTACCATATGACCCAACATTCCACTCCTAGGTATATATCCAAGAGAACTGAAAATGTGTTCACACAAAAGTGTGTACACAAACATCCACAACAGCATTATTGATGATAGCCAAAAAGTGGAAACAATCCAATGTCTATCAATGGATGAACGGATAGACAAAATGTGGTATAACCATACAATGGAATATTATTTGGCCACAAAAAGGAATAAAGTACTGATACATGTTACAACATGGATAAATCTTGAAAACTGTAAGTGATACAGCCATAAAAAGGAATGAGATCATGTCCTTTGCAGCGACATGGATGAAGCTGGAAGCCATTATCCTCAGCAAACTAACGCAGGAACAGAAAACCAAATACCACATGTTCTCACTTATAAGTGGGAGCTGAACAATGAGAACACATGGACACAGAGAGGGGAACAACACATACTGGGGCCTGTTGGGGGGTGAGGTTAGGGGAAGGAGAGCATTAGAAAAAATAGCTAATGCATACTGGGCTTAATACCTAAGTGATGGGTTGATCTGTGCAGCAAACCACTAGGGCACACGTTTAGCGATGTAACAAACCTGCACATCCTGCACATGTACCCCAGAACTTAAATAAAAACAAAGAAAAGAAATCACTAAGTGAAAGAAACCAGATACAGAAGCCCATATATTATATGATTCTATCTATATAGAATCTATATGAAATGTCCAGAATAGGCATATCCACAGAGGCAGAAAGTAGGTTAGTGGTTGCCTAGGACTGGGAGTTCGTGGGTGGGAAGAAAGGGGAGTTACTGCTAATGTGTATGGGGTATTTTTCTTGGCGGAGGGGGCTTGATGAAAATATTCTAGAACTGATTTTGGTGATGGTCTTACAACTCTGAATATTCCAAAAACTACTGAATTGTACACTTTAAATAGCTGAATTGTATGGTGTGTAAATTATATCTCAGTCTAGTTATTAAAATAATTTTAAAAGAACCACTTATACAATCCTTTACTATAAACTTTCTGTTTATTTTCATCCTTCAATTTTCTACTGAGTTTTTAGTATTTTTATTATTGATTTTTAGGAACTCTGAATATAAGGAAATTAGCCCTTCATCTGTGAAATGAGTTGCAAATACTTCCTGTTTGTTGTTAATCTTTTGTTCTTGTTTACAGTATTTGTTGGCAAGCAAAATTTTTTCCTCTTTCTGCAACAAAATATATCAATCTTTTCTTTTATGGCTTCCAGGTTTTTTTTATCAGCTGTCTTAG